ATGATAGCTATTGAGAGCTGGCCTTGCCCGGCCCACAGGAGGCCATTTCTCAGGGTGGCTGCAATGATTACAGGGAGCCCCGTGAGCATTACTGACAGCTCTAGAGGCCGATACCTCATCTTCAGCCACATTCACTTTATGTTCAGAGTTATTAGCTCTCTGGCTTGTGTTTGCAGGATATTGTACGCCTTTTCCCCGTGTCTCGTTAGGGGACACCAAGCCCGGCGAAGCGTTCCTGTGTTAGCTCGCAGCATGAAAAGGACGGCAGGGTGCCTCTGGGCCCTTTTCCTGCTTCATGTCCATTACCAGGTGGGCATCTTCCTCACTTAGTCTGACCTCTCCTGTGACTGGATATCTGAAGGAAAAAGACAAGCAGGTGCTGTCTTTGCTTACTCGTGGATGTGACTTGAGTCTTTACTCCGGCTTTCCAATCTTCTCACCTTTGCCAGGTGCTCCCCCTGCACACAGACACACATGTAAGCAGCTTAAAGGGGCTATTTTGGCTCTTAGGATATTAGAATTTTAATAATTATTTTTCTTAAGACCATGCATAAAACTATTTAAACAGAACTGTTAATATTAGTGTAAATTATCCAAAGCATTGCTTTAATTTTCTTACATGCCAGACACTCTATTAAGCATAACACATACCTCAATATTAATTGTAACAACATTTCTTTCTCTTTGAAAACCTCTCAATTATGGCCTGCTTACAGATCATCTGTACTGTTCATGATTCAGGTTTCCTACACTAAAAATTATGTGATATTTTGTAATAATACTATGTGGTAATTTTCATATATCTTTGCTGCATCAAAGGATATATATGGATCTCCTACAAATTTCTTTCATCTCTGCCTCCCTTACCCTTTTTCATGAAGCCTATTAGATAAATATCCATTTATCTATTTCGTCCCAAATTCTGAAGCTCTATCTCTAATTCGGTGCATATTCAGATTGCAAAAATTGTCCTAGGAGTATTCGTGTACCAAACAAAAACCAAAGAAAACCAGACAAACAAACAAACAAACTGCTTTCAGAGAAGCATGTGTTCATGCATGTATTTACCCTTATACAACATAATCTGTTCTCTGACCACTAATGTACAATTTTGTTGATTTTGCTACACTTAGGGAAAGCAGATGTATTTCCTCAGGCAACAACTTACATTTTTTCTGAAAGTGTCCTGTGTGGGGTAACAGTTCTGACATGTTATGCTTAGGTATATGCTCTAAGAGGTTGATGTTCAGTAGCTAATACTTTAGTGTTGCTTGCATATACCTAGATAATTATTTCAGGGCAGTGATTTATTTATTTTATAGTTCTAATAATGCAGTTGTCAAAAATATTATATTATTTTCCTGTTTAGCAACTGAAGATAAAAACAACAAAGAATACTGTATGAAATAGCTTTTTGTAAAAATTACAAGTTATATCATTCTAAAAGCTTTCAAGTATATTAATTTTACTTTGTAGGCACAGAGGAAGGAAGAAGCATGGATGAAATATACTTTTCAAGGACAAAACTTCATGATTTCTCAACAGAAGCTAGAATACAGTAATTTTTAAAGGCTTTGAAATATCTCTAAAGACAAAGAAAAACAATGTAAAACAATTTATGGATAATCATAATTTGGTCATTTAAAAGTTGGCCTTTATCCCAAGTAAAAATTAGAAAACTAAAAGAGTATAAACAATTTTAGGAATTTAAAACAAGGAATGATTATTATTATTTTAAAATATATCTTTATTGATTTCAGGGAGAGGAAAAAAGAGGGAGAGAGAGAGACAGAAACATCAATGATGGAAGTCACTGATCGAGCCTACAACCCGGGCATGTGCCCTGATCGGGAATCAAACCCCTATTGCCTGGATCCTAGGTCGACACTCAACCGCTGAGTCATGCCCGGCCAGGCCAAAGAATGTTATTAATCAGAACCAACAATTCAAAACCCTAAAACATTTGCCAAAAAGTCAAGGGGCAAAAGAATTAAAAAAAAAAAATAAAAATAAGCCAATATTCTGTAGTTCTCAAAAGACTTGTTAGTCAGTAGAGATAAACTTGATATTGATGTGTGATAATTTTTGATAGATAAAATGGACCACCAAGATTATCACACATATGCATAATAATTATTAAAATGAAAGAGAGAAATAATCCTAGTAGCTGAACTTGGAGAACACAAAATAGTTCTTTAAAAGCTCTAATTAATATACTCAGAGAAATTGAAGGTGATATTACTCATATCAAACATAGGAAGCTGGTTATGCACAAGTAATATTCAGGGAGAAAAAAAGAACCATTGAAAAATATTTAATATAAAGCTAATGTTGATAAATCCTTTATGTGTGAAATGTAAAAATAAGCCAATAAATAGATAGAAATATAGATAGGTAGACAATTGATTGATAGCTAACCCAGAGAAATTTTCCTAATTCAAAGTGTTAAATGTAGACCCAAATCCTTGCCTACTGATCAAAGGAAAAACTAAGTCATTGTAGACACTAGAAGAGTTTCTTTAAGTGTGATATGTGGGTTGCTTGTATCAGAAACTATGGGATATTTCAAAAATGAATACGATCTCCCAGTCTCAGAAAACACCCACTACATCAGAATTTCTGTAAGTATAGCTAAGACAGATACATTTTAGTAAGGGTTTTTAGGCAATCTTAAGGTTATTACTATAGTAAAGCCATTTAAAATATTTTTAAAAATTAAATAACTTTCAGATATTTTAATACTTTTCTGAATTTTAGAAACATTTTTGAAAACCATATATATAAAACTATATATAACTATAGTTACATATCTATAATCTATCTATATCTTACCACTGTAAAGAAAAGCTTTTTTACCGTCCTATACCTCCATATTACACTTAATCTCTATGAAAATATTTGTTTTATTTGAACTATTTGCTAACCCCATTTCATCACACCAAATTCTAAAATTCAGGAAGTTTATTTAAATAGGAGCTAGCTTAGTGTAAGGCTCATGGTGTGCTCAAAAAATGTTTTTTAAATGAAGTCTATATGTTCACTGTTGAACATAGTATTCTATAGCCACATGTGTTTATCAAGCACTTGAAAATTTGCTAGTATGAATTTCCAAGACTTATAAAAAAGGTAAAATATCTCATTAATATTTCTTACAATAATTATATATTGAAATTAGTTGTTTAAGAATGGCATAAAAAAAAAATAAAAAAAAACATGAGTTATTCCAAGTATCTTTAATTATTTTTTTCTATTTTCTATAAATTGCCTTTTAACGGTGCATTAGTGTCTATTCTAAAGTTGTAGATTTTATGTTTTTCTTTCCTAATCAGAAAAAGTTTCTCATTAAGCATTAAGTCCCTTAAGTTTTAAGCAACAGATTTCGGAGAGACAGATGTGAAATGATTAGGAAATGAGGAGCATCTAAAGTAAAGTTTGGCTTTGCATTCACCCTTTCTTGTCTCAAAAGTACAAACAACAAATGGGGGCTCTATTAAGGTTTTAATTAATTTCTATTTCTAACCAAGGAAACTGCAAAAAGTCTCCCTGCCTAATAGTTTTTATTTTTTTTTATTTGTTTTCAGAATTAGATAAAATGAGGAAGTATTGGGCCAGCATTCTCACATGAAAGGATCAGTATTTTTAAATTATTTCAAGTATAAAGAGACATGATTTCTTCTGGGAGAAAAGATATAGGAAAAATATGTTTGATATTGATTTATTTTATCACATACATTTATTTCTACTTTTAATACAAATATAGATATTGATTTCATTTTTCCAATGAACTATCAAATTTCATAATTTGTAGGTGGAAAACACAGATATATTTTTCAATTATAATGTAACAATATTGATTGATCACTCTTTTTCCTCCCCTTAAGTTTCTCAGTCCCATTCAATTCATTTTACTATTGCATAGTGTCAATCAGCAAACATTGAATCCATAATAATACTTACCACAATTTAAAATCATATATGTATGAACAAACATGATTCCTAAATGCCCAATAATATTCAGATAGGTATTAATAGATTTTCACAATGACATTAATTTTCACCATGTATCAGAATAAGAAAAGCGGGTCTAAAGGCTATTCTAATCAATTAACATCAGACACCAATATTGACTTTCATTCACAATTATATCCTTAATAGACAGGAATATATCACTAGGTAACTAAATAAAATTTATTTTTCCTGAGTAGCCATTTACCATTTTTCAACATAATACTAAAAAAAAAATTTTATAATTTTTTTCTATTCTCTCTCTCCCTCTCTCTTTCCCTTTGTGTGTTTATTTTTAATCAGTAAGTGTGATAGACAATTTCTTCTTTACCTGCTATTTGAAGGGCCTTTTATCACTGCCTTTTCACAGCTTTCCTATTTTGGGAAGAATACTGACACTAATACTGTTTGGAAGAAATGTTATTTTAATGATAAACAAAAGACAATGCAAAAAAAATTTAAATTGTCACTAGTATAACTAGAATAGAATTTAGAGAAAATATAGTTGAAGAAACCGAGGAGATATGTGTGGTCCATATATAACCACAGTAGTTTGGAAATCTGTGTTTAAAGCAGAGACATGAATCCAAGTGTAATAATGCTATAGTATTGTATTTGAAAACTCTGTTCAAAAATTAATTACAGCATTATTATTGTACATTTCCAAGGGTACAACTGCGCCTTATTTCTCGGGGAAAGGTCTTGCATGATTTGTAATTTTTCTTTTGCTTTGTTTTAATGATTAAGAAAAATTTCTCGTCTTTAAAACTTTTCCGTTTTCATCTTTTAAAACTAATGCATGATGTTTGATATGACTCCCTTTACAGTAAGTATTAACAATTACTGCACCTGCCGCAGAGCGTGCCCCCCGCCCCGCCCCCACCCCCTGTGTTCCGATTGGTGGAGCCTCCAGAACCAATTTGAAACTTGGCGGTTAAATCTCCGGTTGGACAGGGCAGTGGGAGACCAGAGAAGAGAGATGCTGAGGTGGGATCATGAAAGACCAAGTGAAAGGAATTCCTGTAAGAGTAGCACTGCGATGTCGCCCTCTGGTCCCCAAAGAGATGAGTGAAGGCTGCCAGATGTGCCTTTCCTTCGTGCCCGGGGAACCACAGGTGGTGGTTGGTACTGACAAATCCTTCACCTACGATTTTGTGTTTGACCCGTCTACTGAACAGGAAGAAGTCTTTAATACAGCAGTAGCGCCACTCATAAAAGGCATATTTAAAGGATACAATGCAACTGTCCTGGCCTATGGACAGACTGGTTCTGGAAAAACCTATTCAATGGGAGGTGTATACACCGCAGAGCAAGGGGATGAACCAACAGTTGGGGTCATTCCTAGGGCAATACAACTGCTCTTCAAAGAAATTGATAAGAGTGACTTCGAATTTACTCTGAAAGTCTCATACTTGGAGATTTACAATGAAGAAATCTTAGATCTTCTATGCCTATCTCATGAGAAATCCTCTCAGATAAATATAAGAGAGGATCCTAAGGAAGGCATAAAGATTGTGGGACTCACTGAGAAGACTGTCCTAGTTGCGTTGGATATGGTTTCCTATTTGGAGCAGGGCAACAGCTGTAGGACTGTGGCCTCCACAGCTATGAACTCCCAGTCATCCCGGTCTCATGCCATCTTTACAGTCTCCATAGAGCAAAGAAAGAAAAGTGACAAGGATAGCAGCTTCCGCTCCAAGTTGCATCTTGTAGATCTTGCTGGATCAGAAAGACAGAAGAAAACCAAGGCTGAAGGGGATCGCCTAAAAGAGGGTATTAATATTAACCGGGGCCTCCTATGCTTGGGAAATGTAATCAGTGCTCTTGGAGATGACAAAAAGGGTGGCTTTGTGCCCTATAGAGATTCCAAGTTGACTCGACTCCTTCAAGATTCTCTAGGAGGTAATAGCCACACTCTTATGATAGCCTGTGTGAGTCCTGCTGACTCTAATCTAGAAGAAACATTAAATACCCTTCGCTATGCTGACAGAGCAAGAAAAATAAAAAACAAACCTGTTGTTAATATTGATCCCCAGACAGCTGAAATTAATCATCTGAAGCAACAGGTACAACAGCTACAGGTCATGTTGCTACAAGCTCATGGAGGTACCCTGCCTGGATCTATAAACGTGGAACAATTAGAGAATCTACAATCTTTGATGGAGGAGAATCAGTCCCTGGTAGAAAAGAATGAAAAATTAAGTCATGGTCTGAGTGAGGCAGCTGGTCAGACAGCACAGATGTTGGAAAGGATTATTTTGACAGAACAAGCAAATGAAAAAATGAATGCCAAACTAGAAGAGCTCAGGCAGCATGCAGCCTGCAAAGTGGATCTTCAAAAGCTAGTGGAGACTTCAGAAAACCAGGAATTAAAAGAAAATGTAGAGATGATTCAGGACCTGCAGCAACTGATTACCCAGATATCAGATGAAACTGTTTCTTGCATGGCTGCAGCCATTGATACTACAGTGGAACCAGAAGCTCAAGTGGAAATCAGTCCACAGCCCAGCAGGTCTTCTGATGGCTTCACCACTCAACATGCTCTACGTCAAGCTCAGATGTCTAAGGAGCTGGTAGAGCTGAATAAAGCCCTTGCACTGAAAGAGGCCCTGGCCAGGAAGATGACTCAGGATGGCAGTCAACTACAGCCCATTCAGTTCCAGTACCAGGACAGCATGAAACACCTGGAATTGGAAGTCATCAATCTGCAAAAGGAAAAGGAAGAATTGCTTCTTGAACTTCAGACCACAAAGAAGGGTGTCAACCAAGCCAAGCAGAGTGAGCGCTGCCACAAACGTCTCCAGGAGCTAGAGTGTCAAATAGCTGATTTGAAGAAGAAACTGAATGAACAGTCCAAACTTCTGAAGCTGAAAGAATCCACAGAGCACACCATCTCCAAACTGAACCAGGAGATACAGGTGATGAAAAACCAGAGGGTACAGTTAATGCGTCAGATGAAAGAGGATGCTGAGAAGTTTAGACAGTGGAAGCAACAAAAAGACAAAGAAGTAATCCAATTAAAAAAACAAAACAGAAAGAGGCAATATGAGCTGCTCAAACTGGAAAGAAGCTTCCAGAGACAGGCTAATGTGCTTAGACGTAAAACTGAGGAGGCAGCAGCTGCCAACAAGAGGCTCAAGGATGCTCTGCAAAAACAACGGGAGGTCACAGAGAAGAGAAAAGAAACTAAGAGCCATGGAATGGAAGGCACTGCAGCTCGAGTGAAGAGTTGGCTTGGAAATGAAATTGAGGTTATGGTCAGTACTGAGGAAGCCAAATGCCACCTGAATGAACTTCTTGAAGATAGAAAGATCCTGGCTCAGGATCTGGCTCAACTCAGAGAAAAAAAGGAATCTGGGGAGAACCCACCTCCTAAACTCCGGAGGCACACAATCTTACTTGTTGAACTGCACGGTCAAGTTTCAGAGTCAGAGGATTCCACTACAAAGCAGATTGAAAGCCTACAGACTGAAATGGAACTCAGGAGTGCTCAGATTGCTGACCTACAGCAAAAGCTGCTGGATGCAGAAAGTGAAGACAGGCCAAAACACCGCTGGGAGAGTATTGCTACCATTCTGGAAGCCAAGTGTGCCCTGAAATTTTTAATTGGAGAGCTGGTTTCCTCCAAAATACAGGTCAGCAAACTTGAAAGCATCCTGAAACACAACAAGGCCAGCTGTGCGGACATGCAGAAGATGCTGTCTGAGGAACGAAATCATTTTGTCGAAATAGAGACAGAGTTACAGGCACAGCTGTCCAGAGTGAAGCAACAGCATCAAGAGAAGGTGCTGTACCTTCTCAGCCAGCTGCAGCAAAGCCAAATGGCAGAGAAGCAGCTAGAGGTGTCAGTCAGTGAAAAGGAGCAACAGCTGCGGAACACACTGAAGTGTCAGGAAGAAATCGAGGAGATGCGAGAAGTGTGCGCGCAAAACAAGCAGCTTCTCCGAGAGAATGAAATCATAAAGCAAGTGGGCAGACAAAAGAAATCTCATCTTCCTAAGGATACCCTTCTATCTCCAGACTCTTCTTTTGACTATATCCCACCTAAGCCAAGACCTTCCCGTTTTAAAGAAAAACTCCTCGAGCAAAGCATAGACATTGAGGATCTAAGATGTTCAGAGCATTCTGTCAGTGAGCCTGAGGACAGTGATGCTGGGGATGATGAGGAATGGAAGCCAACAAAATTATTTAAGATGTCCAAGAAGAACATCCACAGGTGCTCCTGCAAGGGCTGGTGTGGAAATAAGCAGTGTGGGTGCAGGAGACAGAAGTCAAACTGCTGCGTGGACTGCAGCTGTGACCCCACAAAGTGTAGGAACCATCAGCAAGACAAGGGTAGCTTGGACACTGCTGAGCAGACCCAGGATTCTGAAGGCTCCTTCAAGCTGGAGGATCCCACAGAGGTGACCCCAGGATTGAGTTTCTTCAATCCCATCTGTGCCACTCCAAACAGCAAAATCCTGAAAGAGGCGTGTGAGATGGAGCAGGTTCTGTTAAAGACCACTCCGGCTGCCTCCTCCCTTGGCCTCTCAGAGTTGAAGCAAGTAGCCACAGAATCCCAAGAAAATAAAGCTCCAGGGAAAAAAAAGAAACGAGCTCTGACCAGTAATGTCAGCTTCTTCTCTGGCTGCTCCCTTATGGAAGAAGAGGCCCCCTGAATTTGGACTCATCATCTCTACCCTAGTCTGGCTTGGGAGATGCCTTCTGGTTACAGCCAGAAGGGAATTTTTTAATGACTCCTTTAGATTTAAGGTTTCTTGCTGTTGAAAAAAGGGACAGCATGTTAGTGAAAGGGTGCTAAGCCACCTGCTGAAGAGAGAACCAGCTGACCTTCCTGGTTACTCTTCAGGAACCAGTCCCCAGTATAATGGAGCTCCTTCTGATGTGCCAGCAGTTAAAGCTGTCTCCTAATGGGAATGAGGCCAAGGCTGTCTTATCTCTAGGTTATCTCAGCTTAATGGTGGAGCTTGGCCTGGGTAGGAGGCCTGGCACCAGTCTTTCACCCCTCCTCAGGAATGGTGCTGAGGTAAATAAAATATTTTAAATTGCTAATGTTTTAGTTATATAAATAAATAAAGCTGAAAAAGTATTAACAATTATATGGAGACAAAACAGAAGTGGATGTCCAATAACTATTTGACTAAAGAAAAATTGTTGAAAATAAAAGGGATTGAAAGAACACCTTACCATTCCATTGCTCAGATAATATATTTTTATTGATTTCAGGGAGAAAGGAAGAGAGAGGGAAAGAGAGAAAGAAACATCAATGATGAGAGTCATTGATCAACTGCCTCCTGCATGCCCCCTACTGGGGATCGAGGGTGCAACCCAGCATGTGCCCTGAACAGGAATCAAATGGCGATCTCCTGGATCATAGGTCCATGCTCAACTGCTGAGTCACACCAGCTGGGCTAATTTGTGTTTTAAAACTAATGTCTAACTTATAATTATGATTTCAGTATAAACAAAAATCAAAACCTTGATTTAGCAGGATACAGAGAGCCCATTATTTTTATTCCCAGCCTTAACTACAAAATAAACCAGACTATAATATCATGCTATTCCCTTATGAGAGAGCTAAAAATTTTAATAAACTTAAAAGAATTAAAATACAGAGAATGCCAAAAAATTCCTAGGAAAAAAAAGTAGCCAAGCTGCTTTTATCCCTGACAAAGGAGCATGAGGAGAAAGGATCTGCAATAAATATTGGTTAAAAAAGTCACATTTTAAATAAACTTCAACATCCCTATGTAAACTGGTGTAACTGATGAAATTTTCCAGAAGCTCCAGTCACAGAGAGATTTCACTCACCACCTGCTCTTTCCCAAAGATCATCTCTTCTTAGGAATAGTACACCTAAGGCTGGGTGCAAAAGGGAAACTGAGAGAATGTCTACAGCATTGTGCAATATCTCATGTAACATGGGAGCAGGGCCAGAGAGCTGAAAGAAATTTCTCCCACAAATTTCTGGACTTTACTGAGAGTGAGCCAATTGTTGTTGGCTGCTGGTTTTTGATGGCACAAGAGGAAACCTGAAAATAAGTCACTTTGAAGCTCTTTGCATCTTCCCTGAGTATAATACAGAGGTCCTTCAAATGTTGGAGATAGGACAGCAGGGTAGAGAGATTTAACGCTAAGATCGAAATTAAAGTGTGCAAAAACTCCATGACAACCCCAAACAACTGGAAGCCATGCTAGGGAGCACAGCAAAATATTCCATGACTAGAAAACTGGCCACTGGGCTGGAGAGGAAAAAAGTATCTCCAGAGTGTTTCTGGGACTCAGCAGCAATCAGGCTAAACATAAAAGACACATCCATGTTAAAACTTTGAACCACGTGAGGAACTGGGGCTAACTTTAACTTCAGCACAGCATACATTTAGTTCAATTCAGATTAGTGGTCTTAGAAAAACAGAGCTGTTCACTGTTGTGAGTGTAAATATTATTTATCTTCATTTATGCTGTTTTCTAACACACATTATCTGGCAATCAAAGAAGCAAGATGAGGTGATTCATGATCAAGAGAAGGAAAGTTTAATAAAACCAGACAAAGAGATAAAATGTAGGGATGATCAGAAAGAACTTTAAAATGATTATAAAAAAATAGGTTAAAAGATTAGTATAAAAATGAAAAACATGCATAAATAATGAGTAATCTCAGCAGAGATGAAATTATGTAAAATTGAGCCAATTAAAAATGCTAGGAAAAAATGTAACATCAGCAGTGACAATTTTAAGATGTTAAAAGTTTATTGCACACAGCAGAGAAAATAATCATTAACATGAAGGTAGGTCAACAGAAACTATCACAAGTTAAACAAAGAGAAAATTAGTTAAAAATGGAGCAGAATAACTGATCCATAGAATAAGGCCATACAGTCTATAATACTATTAGGAAAGAGAAAGAAAGTGGAGCAGAAGAAACACTTGAATAGATAATGACTGAGAATTTTACAAAACTGATAATAGACACCAACCAAAAGATATGGAAATATTAATGTATTCAAGCTTGATATGAAAAAAAGAAATACACAAGCACAGCAGATGTGAATTGCTGAAAATGAAAACTAAAGTAGCTTAAAAACAGTCAGAGATTAAAAAACACATTCCATACCGCGGGTGAAGGATCTAAATGACAGCTTTCTTCCATTACAAACAATGAAGGACAGGAGATAATGGGAGCCTATCTTTAAAGTGCTATAAAAATAAAACTGTGATCCAAGAATTGAGTTTGATAGCAAACATAACTGTCAAACCACGAACTCCTGGATCCTAGGTCGATGTCCAACTGCTGAGCCACGCCCAGCTGGGCCAAACCCCTGTTTTTCAAGCATCAACTGTAGATGGTTCTTAATTTGTTATACTCAGTAGAAAATGTCCAGGAGAGAGTACATAGAAGATTTCTACAACCAAGTCCTGGCATTCCAACACTTGGAGCTCTAGCAGGGAAAGGGAATCAACGAATGACGAAATGTGGAAAGAGAACCAGTATGATGGTTCAGGTCAGACCATATCAAATAGATTCTGAAAGCCCATCTAGCCAGTTTTGTGCACAATAACAGAAAGACAGAAATTTAATATTATTCACTTATGTAAGTAGTAAATAGCATTACAACTTGAAAGATTTAATATCTATTTGAAACTGGAAAATAATTTCATTATTATTTTGCATAAAGCTATCTTTCAGTTATTATTTTTCATAATAATACTTTTTATCCAATGTATTTTGTAATGAATGTACTGGCTTTTGACTTTCTTGTGACTCTAGGCCTAGGATCAGCAGTTCTCTTATTATTATCACAGCCATGCATATTCAAAATGCTCATGCATATTCAGGTGCTACACATCTTTTTTGCTTACACTAAAGAATTTCCAGAGTGATAAAGATTGATCTTTTTTTGTCACCATTCTCTGAATATCATTTGGTTTAGGTTATGTTTACATAAACCATATCAGTTATATAATACAGTTGCAAAGTATGTCAATCACAGGCCAATTATGACAGGTTTTATGACTAAATAGATACAACAAAATTTCCTTTCTCAATGCTGAGAAAAATATGTTAGCAGAGAAAACACATTTGATCGGCTTTTGTTCTGTATTGATTTGTGATTAATTTTAAAGATATTTGATTCTTTCAAAACTTACCTTGCATTTTCGGCTATGTTGTATTTTCTATTTCAGACTGTAGAAGTAATGTTTTGAAGATAGAAATTAATGCCCCCTCATTGCCCAGTATGGAATCAAAGACTTTATAGCAGTACTTTTTCCCTAAAAAGTTTGAGTGAGGCTTTCCTTAATATAAGTAAACTTGCCTCCTTTCTTGATTCTACATCTATCATACCTGGTTTTAGGGTATAATATTTGCTAAAGTTTAGAGTATGATATTTGGTAAATTGACTAAATTGTGTCTGCCTGCAAAATTCATGTGTCGAAAACCCAACCCCCAATGTATTTGGAGAGAGAGTCTTTGAATAGGTAATTATGGTTAAAGTCATAAGAGTGTGGCCCTAATTCCATATGACTGGTGTTCTTATAAGAAGAGGAAGAGACACCAGAGCTCGCTCCCTCTCTGGTGTGTGCACAGAGAAGTTATGTAAGACACATAAGAAGGTGACAACCCAGAAACCATAAAGAGAGGCCTCACCAGAAACTGAAGTTGCAGGCACCTTGATCTGGAAATTCTGGCCTGCAGACATGTGGTAAAATAAGTTTCTGTTGTTTAAGCTACCCAGTCTGTGATATTTTGTCATGGCAGCCCAAGCAGACTGACACAGGAAAATACATAGTGAGCAGATGACTGGGGTCAAGTCTGTTCAAGTTTAGGAGGCACAGATGCTTTGTTTCAATATTTTTCTACTAAGTTCTCCTTCATTTCTAAATCAAACTTCAAAATTCTACTGAAAAAATACTTTTATAAAAAGGTTACTGCAATTTTAGATTTTTCTGACTTTTTTTTAAAAATACATCTTTATTGATTTCAGAGAGAGGAAAGGAGAGGGAGAGACAGAAACATCAATGATGAGAGAGTCACTGATCGGCTGGAGCCCGCAACCCGGGCATGTGCCCTGACCGGGAATCGAATCCCAATTGCCTGGATCCCAGGTCGACACTCAACCACTGAGCCACACCCGGCCAGGCGATTTTTCTGATTTTTGACACTAGCCTATTACATTTATTCATTTTTGTTTTATAATTTTCAGATATCCATTGTGGTTTTATCATGAATAAATTAGTGATGTTCTTTAAATGAACATTGTTTACTTATTGTTTTATCCAATTTTATATTTCACTTTAAAAACTAGACTTGATTCTGGATAATTTTTAGTAATTTCCAAGGAAATACAGTTTGTGCTTTAGGAGAAATATTTGCAATCATTAATAATATGTAAAATATATATATATAAATTTTTTGTCTCTGGAAATAAATCCAAATGAGAATTTCCAAATGTGTTTTGGCAATAATAACATGCTAGGAAAATGATAAGATTTATGACTCAGAGATAAGTCAATATTGATAAATTAAGCAACACATAGATTGTCAAAGAACGTAAAGCAGCATGAAGTGCTTCAACTAGACAATGCATCAGCACAGAAGAAAGAGAAAGATAAAGAATTATTAACCTGATTACAAGAAACTTACTAGTATTGCACTGTA